TACTTCCAAACTTGTGACTCATGCAGACATTCTCAAGTGAGTATTTTAAGGTAGAAAAGTCCCAGAAACTTCTTGGGGTTAGAAGAGATCTGTGAGCATTAGTGACCTATGGTTAATAGGACACTGTAAATTCGGTGCAAAAGGCATTGAAGTATTAACTGCCACACTGTAAGTTCAGGGATCTTCGTTTTTTAGGTTCAATTATCTTAGCAGCAGTTCCCACCTAACTAGTTTATGCTGCTAAGAAAGTTAATGACTTAAGGTTACTTTAAAAAGCAAAGAATCAAAAGAATGAGAAGACAAGACATAGACTGGGAGAAAATATTTACAAAAAACACTTCCTATTAAGGAGTATTATTCAAAATACAAAAAGTCTTAAAACTCAACAATAAGAAAACAAACAGATTAAAAATAGGCCAAAGATCTTAACAGACACCTCACCAAAGAAGATATACAGATGGCAAGGAAGCATATGAAAAGGTGCTCAACACCATACGTCATTAGGCAGATGCAAACTGAAACAGTGAAATGCCTTTGGAATGGCCAAAATCCAGCACACCGACAACATTAAATGCTGGGGAGGATGTGGAGTAATAGGAATTCTCATTCATGCAGGTGGGGATGCAAAATAATAGAGGCATTTTAGAAGACAGCGTTTAGACCTTTCTTGGAAAAGTAAACATACTTTGATCATATGATCCAGCAATCATGCTCCTTGGTATCTACCAAAGGAGTTGAAAATGTATGTCCACACAAAAACCTGGCCATGGATGTTTATTACAGCTTTATTTATAGTTGCCCAAACTTAGAAACAACCAAGAGTTCCTTTAGTAGGTGAGTAGACAAAGAAACTGTGGTACATCCAGACAATGGAATATTATTCAGTGCTAAAAAGAAATGAGCTCTCAAGCTATTAAAGGACAGGAAGGAAACCAAAATGCATCTTACTAAGTGAAAGAAGGCAATCTTGAAGAGGCTACATACTGTACGATTCCAATTCTATGAAATTCTGGAAAAGTCAAAACTATAGAGACAATAAAAAGATCCATGGTTGCCAAGAGTCAGGAGGGAGGAGAGATGAACAGGCAAAGCACAGTAAATTTTTAGGGCAGTGAAACTATTCCATAAGGTGGATACATGTCATTTTAAAGTTATCCAAACTCACAGAATGTACAACTCCAAAAGTGAACTCTAATGAAAACTATAGACCCTGGGTGATAATGATGTGTCAATGTAGCTTCATCAATTTTAACAAATGTGCTGCTTTGGTATGAATATCTATAATGGGGGAGGCTATGCATATATTCATATATGCAGAGGGTATATGGGAAATCTCTGTACCTTCTAAGCAATTGTTCTGCAAACCTAAACCTGCTCTAAAAAATAAAATCTATTTTTTAAAAAAGCAAAGCAAAATTCATTTATAAGAGAACTTCTACTCTTAAGGAGGAAAAAAGCATGTGCACTATTTGGAACATTATTCCTGTTCCCATGCTTTTGCTCCCTTGAGAAAATTGCTAACCTTCACCCTGGGGTGCAAGAATTGCTGCTCAGTAGTGTCTCGTTATTAGGTATGTTACAGACAGCCCTGGAGAAAGGGAGAGAGAAGGAGAGGGAGAGAAAGAAGCAGAGAAGGAGAACAAGGAACTTTCCACAGTATGTAAAATAGATTTTCAAGAAGACACAGAATTTTCTTAGAGATTTAGGAGGAAATCTGGAGACTATCATCTGCTATCAGGTTTAAAAAATCACTTTTATTTTATTTGGACTTATCATACAAGTTATGCTTTTCTTATTTCTCAGTGGTCATCTCTTCTTGAAAATAATCTTCCTCAGCAGTTGGATTTTCTGAATATTGAATAATGGTTTTTCTCCCAAAGGAGTAATGGATTTTGAATGTGTGTTAGGCAAACACTCTTTTCATGAATACACAGCTAACAACATGTATGAAATGATAGATCTTCTTTCACAAAAGAAGGAAATAAGATCAAGCTGGCTTCTGCCAGGGAAGGCCATATTTCTTCTCTCTTCAAGAAGCTACTTTCTTTCTGATTTCCTCTCCTCTAGGTTGTCATCAATCTCAGGGGCATACTTCTTAATAAAAATGTTAGCCGACCTGGGAAGAGCAGTTCCCTCAGACCAGGAGAGTTAATTTGTGTTATGAGTTGAACTGTGCCACCCCTTCCCCTAACAAATTTATGTGTTGAAGTCATACTCTTCAATACTTCAGGATGTCTATTCAAAGTTAGAGTCTTTAAAGAGGTAATTAAGTTAAAAATGAGGTCATTAGAGTGGGCCCTAACCCAAATGACTGATATCCTTATAAGAGATTAGGACACAGACACAGAAGGAAGACCACGTGAAGACCCAGGAGAAGGCAATCGTCTACAATCTGCCAACATCTTGATCTCAGACTTCTAGATCTCAGAATTGTCAGAAGATAAATTTCTGTTTTTCATCCAGTCTGTGATACTTTGTTATGGCAGCCCTAGCAAAACTAATATAGTATGGAAGAGTAAACCCTGGTGACTCCAGCATTCCCAAAGTGCTTCTATCCAGAGCCTAATGAGAGCAGTTCATGAGCTTGTTAACAAAATTATAAAGAAGCTGTAGGAAATAATAAATAAATAAATACATAAATAAATAAGCTGTAGACTTCAAAAATTAATTCAACAAACATTTTTTGAGCTGCTCCAACACATTGTGTACTGAGCTAAGGTGGCAAAGTCAAAAAGACAAGCCCCTAAGTGGCTCAAAGTAAATAAGACCTCAAACCATCCCAAGGAATTCAGTCTAAAGAGGAAACAGGCACAGAAAGAGTCAATTTCAATATAATGTGACCAGTGGTAAGATTACATTATGCACAGGGTGCCATAGGTATGGATCAAGGACTCTGAGGACTTTACTGAGATTCAGCAAGGGTATTAGATTGGAAACCACATCTAAATCTAAGTCTTAAAAATAAATAAATAAATCTAAGTCTTTAGGAAAAAGTGTAAGTGTGCCAGGTAGACAAGGGAAGAGGGACATTTCAGTGACAGGAATACCAGAGACAAAGTCAGGGAAGTGGGAAAGTGTCTAGAATGTCAGGTGATGAGTGAGAAGTTCAGGGTAATTGGAGTCAGGATGTGTATGAGGGAGGATGGGAGGAGAGAGTGTGAAGAAATAGGGTCAGACCACTAAGGGCTGGGCATGCCAAATTTGGATCTTAACCTGAAAGCAGTGGAAAGCCACCAGGGATTTTTATAGAGAAAAGTCACGATCAGACTTGCTCTGAGCAGGGTCTGTCTGATAGCGTGGAAAATAAAATGGTACGGGGAGAGGGAGGTAGGATGCATAAAAACAGAGAGCAGGGACGTTGATGGGAGCCTGAAGCGAGGCAGCAGTATTGGGGTGCAGAGAGCAAGTCTTGCTTTAGAGATATTTCAGGGGTGGAATTGAAGGGGTCTAGAAACTTATACTGTGAAGATTTTAACACTCTACTTCTGCATGTGCTAATACAGAAAAGATGCTTCCAACTGTAAAACACTGGACAGCATTTACTTGATTTTCTGTGTCAGATGTACAAATAAATATCATTGTTTCCTTAAACATGCAGATTTGTTATCAACTTAATAAAACTCAGTATTTTAATTACTTTTTAAAGAATTACATTCAAAATAGCTACATTTCCTTACTTGTGTTTTATTTAATTTTGGGAAGAAGTGCTCTTGGGGGGGGGTAAAAAAACAGTATAATTGGATGCAGTTTAAAAAAATGAGTATCTTATTTTACCTGACCATAGCATGTCTGGTATTTCTGTGACGCTTCCAAGTTGGACTTGATTGAAACCTGCATATTTGAGGCGATAGAAAGCCTCGGAAAATACACTCACCTCGGTCTGATCTGAGTTTTCTCACCAGCTGCCTCCCGCGACTAGTTTAGTGTTTCTAGGCCCCAGTTTCTCCTTTCTAAAACGGAGGGAGAAATTCTTCGATCCTTTTAAGAGTCCTTTTGGCTAAAGTTCCACGAGTCTTTTCTCCCAGAAGAAATGCAGCTTTGGACTTTTAAAATGAATTGCTTTCGTTTTATTAATTATTACTGAAGCGTTAAAGAGGAGACTTTACATTTTGCTGGAAAATATTTCTTGGAACTGTACATAAATCTTGTCAGATGGTTTTGAGATTTATTAATAAATAAATAACCCAACCTGAAGCAGCACGCACGTTCAGACACCCCCGTTGTGGGGTCCAAAGCACTCCAGGAAATGCACGTAAAGCTCTGTAGGTTCAGCTAAGTCTTAGAAGTAGCCCCAGGGACAAAGGAGGCTTGTGGCAAACAAACGTGGAGTCCAATTGGGTCAATACGACTGCACAAAAATGAAGAGGCCGGACCAGTTTTGCCTTTTCCCTTCCTTAAGAAACTTGCATGTGTAAGTGGAAAAGGGCCCTAGGTCCTCGCGCAGAGAAATGGGGGGCCGCGGAGCAGGCTGCTCACTCCCCACCTGCGGCTCTGGCTTCCTCTCCCGCACGCGGGTCTGACGAGGACGGCCCGTGTCCCTTCCCCCCCCGCCCCCCCGCCCCCCCCCCCGCCGTCCTTCCCCCCGAGCGGGGGTAGTGTCCTCGCAGGAGCTGCTGTCGGAGGCGGGAGCCGGGCCCCGAGGAGGCTCCGCAGCCGCCGCCGCCGCCGCCGCCGCCGCCGCCGCCGCCGGGAGAGCGTCTCCCCGCAGCAGCGCCCCCCTCGGCCTCGGCCCGGCGCCCTCCTCGCAGCCACAGCCGCGGCCGCAGCTCCCACGGTTTCATGGTGGGCGGCGGCGGCGGCGGCGGCGGCGGCGGCGGCTCGGCTCGGGTTCGCGCCTCCAGCTGTCGGGCGTCGGGCCGCGCCGCCCTCTCCGCCTGCCTTCCCGCCCGGGGCCGCCCGGGGCTGCCGGAGCGGCGGGCGGCGGGGAAGGGGCGCCGCGGGCTGCGGCGGCGGCGGCGGCGGGCGGGCGGCATCCCCGCGCTCGGACCGCGGCGGGCGCGATGTCCACCAAGGGCAGGAAGTGCAAGGAGCAGGCGAGGGTGACCTTCCCCGCGCCGGAGGAGGAGGAGGAGGAGGAGGAGGAGGAGGAAGAGGAGGAGGAGGAAGGCGAGGACCGAGGCTCGGAGCCGCAGCGCCGCCGGCGGGGCTGGAGGGGCGTCAACGGGGGGCTGGGGCCGCGCTCGGCGCCCTCGCAGCGGGAACCGCACGGCTACCGCCCGCCGCCCTTCTCGCCCGGGCTGGCCCCGTGAGTACCCGGGAGGGCGGTGCGGGGCGGGGGCCACGATGGCGCGCTCCCGGCCGCCCCGCGACGGGCCGCGGACGCCGCGGCGCAGGGCCTGGCGGTTCCGCTCGGGCGGCTCGGGGACGCGGGGCTCGGGCGGGAGCTCGTGCCGGGCTCCGCTGGGCTCCGCCGGGCTCCGCTGTGCGGAGGGACCCGGCGGCCTCCGAGGGCGTGGCCGGGCTCCGTCCCGGCGGCAGCGCACGCAGCAGCCCCGCGCGCGCACGCCACAGCCCCGGACCGGGCTCGCCCCGCGGCGAGCGGACCCGTCGTGCCCGGCCGCGCGCTGCTGCCCCCCGGGCTGGGACCCCTCGGCGGGGGAACCCCGAGCTCCCCCGAGGAAGTCCAGGAATGCGGGGCTGCGCGTGGACCCAGGCGCGCGCTCAAACTGGGGGCGCCCTCGTGCCCCGCTGCCCCGCCTGGGAACGGGCGTCCCCCCCCCCCCACTCTCCGGGGCCGGGGCAGGGGAGTGGGGAGCCCGGAAGGGAAGGTGTGCGGCCGGGCTGTGGGCTGTGGGCTGTGGGCTGTGGGCTGTGGGCTGTGGGTGCAGGTTTGCCCCGCCGCCCCGTTTCTCGACGGTCCGTTCGCAGTTGGGAGCAAACTGCAGCCGAGTCCCCAGGGGAGAGGGGGCGCCGGGCAGCCGCGGGAACCGTCCAGGGGCGACTTTGGCTGTAGTTCCCAGGCGGCAGGAGCTGTTTTCTTTTTAAAGGAAGGTGGAGGTCGGCACAGTAGTGCGTGAGAAAGAGCAACTTTCCTCAATCCCCAGGTCTTGGGGACAGCCTTAGCAGCTACGAGATACAGAGAGGAGTAAAAGCGAGTGCTTAGTTGTGGACGGTGCGTGCTGTTTTTCTTGTCACATACCTTGGGCGTGCCACGGGGTGTACGGTCTTTTTTAGGAAAAAACGCACAGACCTAGGTAGAGAGCTGGGCTCAGATGTGGCGGGCGGCTCTAACCGTCTGGGCGGGGTAAGGGACCGAGGTTAGGCAGCGCCCCCTGCTGCCCTAGAGCGGCCACAGCCCTGGGCCCAGGCCTCTGGGGCGACCTCCAGAGGGCCCTAACCTCGCCTCGCTCTGCGGGCGCAGATGCACGCCTGGCCCTTCCAGATTTGCTTGTAACAAAACAGAAGTCAGCGGCTGAGTAGACCGCCTAGGGAAGGTTCTGACTTAAAATGAGCGACGCATCCCGATGCGGTTCAATTATTGCCGAAGATTAGCCTGGAGTGGAAATGGCCCAGGAAATGGAAGGAAGGTATATCCTTGGGGATTAAAGCACTGCCAGCTCGCTTTCCAGCCTCCCTAAGATTTTTAAGACACTGTCTGTTTTTCCTTTTGCCAATTTGGTTTTTATAACCCAGCTCAATTTCTTGACTATTTGATTTTTTTTTTCCGTTTATCTTAAACCCACACTAAATGGGACACCACAGCAGTCTTCCCTGAGAAAGCAGGGTGGAGCAGAGAAAACTCACTTTGCCTTTTTTTGGAGTTTGAGAGCAATTACACAAGATACTGAGGCAGATTCTATTGTAGACGTGTCTACCTGCTAATAGAACTTTTTTTTTCTATTTTCTGACTTAACATAATTCAACAAGTAAATGTCCTACCGTATTTACTTTGTAAAGCCATTGAGAAGACCCAGTCATTTTAAGGAGACAGACATTAATAAATGTTTCTTTGGGAATTAGGGCAGCAAGCTCTCCATGTTTGAGTCCTGTCATGTGCTAACGGTGGGCACTAGTTTGATATCTGTAGCAAAAATCAGCTTTTTTTTTTTCCACCTTCAGGAATATGGCCACAGTTAAACAGCTCTGAAAGGGAACACAACAACCCGAGGATGCAATCGGAGAAGGATAACCAGTCTCTGAAAGCCCCAGGGTCATTTTCGGTAGGCAGAATAGAAGAGCTGAATTTAAAATTCAGCCAGGATGCTGAAGATAGAATACCACTCTTACCAAAAAGATTCCTCAGGGTAATCCTGTTGCTCATTTCATTGCGCCATGCTCCAGTATTCCATTTGGGAATTTTAAACAGACTGACTTAGGAGAAAGAATGTCATCTGCTATATAACTAACAAGACTTTTAAAAAATACCCTTTGATGGAACTCTTGATTCAACCATTAATCCAAACCAAGACTTTCTTTATCCAATTGTTTGCAAACCTAGGACCAAGTAGTCTGTCACTGGCAAGAGTACCCCATTCTCGAAGTTCTTAGTTATTAAATATATCTGATGAAACTCCAAAAAGGCATCTGAAGGCAGTCCTCATGAGTTTGGATTCAAAGACATTTTTAAGCATTTGCATGTGCCAAGTTGGTATAGCAAGCCCCAAAGATGAGTATGACAACTTTTCTGCACTGAAGGAGTTTAAAATCTCATGAGGGAGAGGTGGAAATGAAACTGGGCATGAGCTATTATGCTATAAATTAGAGTAAAATAAGTACCATAAAAACATATAAGAATGGAGCTATGAGGATCCAGTGTAAGGGAGCGACAAACTATGTAAGGTCATGGAGAAATCAAGGAAACCTTTATGGCCCTAGAGGATAGAATAGGAGACAGAAACAGAGTGGGAAATTAACTGAAGCCCTTCTCCCTAAATGCTAGGCATGTCTGGGAAATATTAACTGAGTTTAGTTGGAGCATAGAGTATGTGTAGGAGAGCAATGAGATTTAGCTGGTCATTGGTTTGGGGCATTAATACGGAGAATCTTGCCAGAAGGAGGCAATAGGGAGCCATTGATGGTTACAGAGCAACAGCAATTTGATCAACACCAGTCTGAGAGCAGGATGGATTGAAGTGGCAACTGAGAATGAATAAATAAATTAGGGGCCTGTGTAGCTATTCAGGCTGAGATTAGGATCTGTAATAGTGTTGTACTGACCGGGATGGAAAGGGGAGAGGTTGGAAGACACAATACACAGATAGGATCTGTGGGAATATGCAACTAACTGCTCATGAGGGATTTAAAGAGAAAGCAGGGTCAGAGATGATGTGGGGATTTTGACCTAGATAACTAAGCTCATTGATGTCATTGTTTAAAAGGAAAGGACAAAGAGGAGAGTTTGATTTTTCAGATAATATAATCTGATAATCAAACCCAAAATCAGATAATTCGGATTAGAGGTATCAAGCAGGAAGATGGAAATTCAAGTTTAAAGCTTGGGAGAATTTGAGAGTCTCCTGGCTGACGGGGCTAGTTGCTGAGTCATAGGAGTATATGACATTACCCAAAGAAAGAGTGTAAAGAGGAACAAAAGTGCTATGGACTCCCTTTTCCGAGGAATTTTTGTTGTTGTTTAGAGGGTAGAGAGAAAGCGTAGCAGTCAAAGGATACAGAGAAAGATGACGGAGCAGGTGGGCAACAAGGCTGCCTAGAAAGAACAGTTTCAAGAAAAGAGAAGAATTGACTCACAGTTGACAAATACTTGATAAATCAAGAGAGAAACTTATGAGTCTCCCTTTAGAAAGGAGAATCAATCCTTGTTATGTATTAACATACGTGCACATAATCATTAGATTTCTCAGCAGTGTTATCTTTAAAAGAGAAAGACTTGTAGAAAAGATTCTGTTTAGTTTATCTTCAGAGGAAGTACTGCCAGAAATGTGTCATAACAAAAGCAGTAATTTATGTTTATATAATATTTCATGCTAGAACTGGGAAGGGATCCCCTATTCTTAGCGCCTGCCCTCTCTTAGGCCTGGTATCTCCACAACCAGAGCAGAGCATCTCTATTTCGATTTCTCTGGAGATTTAAGATCCTATCTTTCTTATAGGGGTAAGGGTATCAGTCAGTGGGATAGAGATCTAGGGAAAGAGTTCCTTCCTACTCTTCGTACAAACTTTCAGCCCGTTCCCCCGTTTTGGGCTCTTGCTTCATCTCTACTTTCTGGGATTTCTTTTGCCTTCAATTTCTGGGCATATTCTGGCATTGAGCAGGGTGGATCAACTTGCTTCTTGTTATGGGCACTCTGGCACTCTGGTTGGACCTTCCCTATCTCCACTAAATCATTTACCTTTCTTCCAACTCCTCTTCATATGTTGTGTAGTTACAGATTACAAATGTCTTCTGGTTTCATAGAAGATGAAATTTGTATTATTTTTCTTTCTTTTACTTGCTGTATGGGGGGGAAGTAATTTTGGAAAGGAGAAAGGATAAGAGAAGCCTTATTCCATCATCTTAAAACCAAATATCCCTACAATTGTGTTTCAGGTGTTTATTTAAGCCCCAATGAATTATTATTATTAACGGGTCCATATATTATTAACCGGCCAAGATTGCAGAAGGAAGATCTTGATCATGACTAATCTTATGGGGCAAATAGAGTAGATAGTAAGCTATATGGTGTGATAGAAGGGTCATTTGAACTCCCCCACCTAAAGTCATCTTAGTACCACACTTCCTAAATCTAACTAATATAGAATATTTTGGAAAAAAATAGAATGTTTGAGTTGTAAAGGATTTCATCTAGTCTAGTCTTTTCTTTTACAAATCGATAAACTGAAGCTGAAGTTTGACTTCTAATTCACAGCAGCCCTAAGTCTTCTGAAATCTCTAGGCTCTTAGGGCTGTGCTGTTCAAACCGTGGCCTCCTTTGGGTTCAGCTTTTCTCTATTCCTCAAAGAAATTTAAAAATGTGTTTACTCCTGGGAGGAACAGCACAGGACACTACTAATTAGTATTAATTCACTTATGAGGTCCAATTAATTCATCATTTCAATTTGACTGCTGATGGCTGATCAACTTGAGAAAGTTTGTAAGCTAAGTGGGAGGACTGAGAATGGAAACAGAAAGGAGAAAAGAATATCTCAAAACATAACTGACCCCCTGCCAAATATCATTTATGGTTTTCTCTTTTCTTCATATCAAAGTGGTGATACGATCGTGGAGCAGGACTGGGACATCATCTGATGATACAGTTAGAATTTTAGGGATTTTTCATCACTGGCCTGGGATAGGAAATGTCTCTC